AGACACAGAGAGAGAAAGAAAGAAAGAAAAAGAGAGAAAGAAAGAGAAGGAGGGAGGGAGAGAGAGAAAAAGAGAGAGAGAGAAAGAGAGAGAGAGAAGAAAGAAAGGAAAGAAGGAAAGAAAGACAGAAAGAAGGAGGGAGGGAGGAAGAAAGGAAGGAGGAAGGGAAGTAAGTTGTTGCATAGTTTCATAGATTTGAAAGGATCTATGAGTCTATCCAACAACTATCCAAAAGTCATTGTTGTTTAGTTGACAGATAGTCTTATAGATCCTTTGATATCAATATTGACCATTTTGGAGAGCCTTGTTTAAGGTGATCTATGGATCTAGTATCCATGGAGCTTCTCCATCATCCAGGTCATGGTTGTCTCAGAAGTGTATGTTTTCCCCCACAAAAGGCAACTGGACTTTCTTGTTTTTTTTTTCCTTGGAAAACATTTTGCTTCTCATCCAAGAAGCTTCCTTCAATTCTAGCAATTGTTTCTTGGGTAGTGACCGAGAATGGTGGTCATAAGATCCAAGCAGACACTTCCATCTCTCTGTTTGATGTACATCCCACTAAGTTCCTAAAAACGTTTATCTGGGAACTGGTGGAATCTGTGCTTCTCAGACCAGCATGTGGTTCACAGTGGTGATGCTATTCTTAGCTTTTTTAATAATAATAATAATAATAATAATAATAATAATAATAATAATAATAACAATAATAATAATAATAATAATAATAATAACAACAACAACCCAGGTCCTTGGCAAGGACTCCATAGGTAGACAAAAATGCCAAACCCAGCCTGAACATCTAGCTGACTATGCAATGAATAATAATAATCACCTGTATCCAAAAAGTCATGGGAACATAAAGTGGAAAAAGTTGTCGAAAATGAGACAGTGAAGATCTTCATGTTATATCACATAAACCCTTACAATCCAAACCAACTCATTAATATTTTCTTTAATTTTAATTAAGGGGGAAAAGATGAGAGAGAGAGAGAGAGAAGGAGGAGGGAGGGAGGGAAGGGGACACACACAGAGAGAGGGGGGGAAAACCACAATAATTTAGTCTTTGAGCCAAGTTCTATTCCATCAAGTGTAAGCCCAGAGCAAATTTTGATACCCATATAGTAGCAGTCCCCAGGTAGCAGAGTCTGATAATTGAGATTCTGGCAGGAATAGAGATGTTCTAATTAAATTCTATGTGGTGGTTGTAATTAACCCATTTATTCACTTATTGTCCTCTCTGCTAATAATCCAGGTGGCATTAATAGTGCCATTCTATCACGGTTCTGCTTGGCACAGGTCATGCATTAAAAGTTAGTCTTTTGAATGTCTTGCAAAAAAAAAGAGAGAGAAAGAGAGAAGCTTTTAACATACATTCCAGACTAAGATGAAAGAAACAAACCTTTTTTAGCTCAATAAATTATTACTTTATTGTAACATGCAAGGAATTCAATGCCTGGGCAAGTTCCATTAATAACCAGTCAAGCACTGGTCAAAGATATTTTTAAAGCAAATCTTTATTAATAGAGACATTTCATTTATGGGAGAAGCTATTAAAAGATGATCCGTCTTCATATGTATTTTTTTTTAACCGAGGGTAATTACAGGAAAAAAAAATATGATCGGCAAATGGCTATTGCGCAGCACAGAAATTTAATGACTGTGTATCACAAATTGTGGTCTTTTATGAAACGCTCTCTCTGTGTGTATGTGTATCATCAAATGTACACAAATAGATTATCATGATTGAATAAGGGAAATATTACTTTTTTTAATGAACACAGGAGCCCTGTGGGATAAACATGTGTAATAACAGAGTTGGATTTTATTCCTTGGTTTAAGTGTAAGAATCTGATGATAAGGAAGTGACCATAAGGTGAGGAGGAGGAAGAGTTTGTGGCTTTTGGTGTTCTTAGTTTGGTCGTTGTCTTACAGAAGTTTCAGTACCGAACTAGGCAACATCATTAGTGGGAGAAGGAGGAGAAGGAGGTGGAGGAGGGACAAGGAAAAGGAGGAAGAAGAGAAGAGGAGGAATGACAAGGAGGAGAGAAGGAGAAGAAGAGGAGGAGGAGGAGGAAGGAGGAGAAGAAGAGGAGGAGGAAATGAGAGGAGGAGGAGGAGAAGAAGAAGAAGAAGAAGAAGAAGAAGAAGAAGAAGAAGAAGAAG